CGCACGCACGCACGCACGCACGCACGCACACACGCACGCACACACACACACACACACACACACACACACACACACACACACAACACACACACACACGTGCCAGTGCATGGACTCTTTCCTTCGAGCGCGAGGCAGAGGACACGACGGTGACGGCGACGGCGACGGCGACGGCGACGGCGTCGCGGCGGTGACGGGGACGGCGACGGCCACGGCAACGGCAACCGCAATGGCGACGGCGGCGGAAATGGTGACGGCGACGGCGACGACGACGATGACGATCACCATCAACAGCACGGCAATGGTGACGTTGACGACGATGACAATGGCGACCGTAATGGCAACGATGCGGGCAATGGTGACGGCGACGATGACGATGGCGACGGCAAAGGCAATGGCTACGGCGACGACGGCGACGATGACGACGACGACAACGATGACGACGACGACGACAACGATGACGACGACGACGACGACAACAACGACGACGATCACCAGAGAGGAAGGCGGGGAATGAGACGGGCCTGTGATCATGTTGGCCGGCTCAATGGTGGAGCCGATCATGCCGAGCACGAGGTTGTTCCAGTACCTCGCCCCCGCAGCGCCGCGCTGTCCGCTGGCGGGAGCGGGCAGGAGGCCGCACGGCTGCCCCGAGGACACCGCAAAGGCCGTGGGAAAGTCCAGCGCGGATGGCTTGAGGCCCACAGATCTCAGGAGGGGAGAAAAAACACACACACACACACAGACACAACTGATCGGCGATTCCACAGACAATGTGGGAAAGTATGGGAATTGGGCGGGAAGACAGAAACCCAGAAACTATGGAGGAAATATGGGCAATCCTTTTATCTGTGTGTATCTATCTGACTACCTACCAGACCACCCCAACCCAACCCGAAGACCCGAATTTGACCCGAATTTCGGGTTGGGGGGGGTACGGGTTCCATGTGTTTTTTCAATGTTCCCCGACCCCCCCCCCAGTGGAAATCGAGGATAAATTTGGGCCTTCGGGTTGGGTTGGGGTGGTTTGATGGGTGGTGAATCTGTGTGTCCTTGGGCCCCTTGAAGATCACCGCTGCTCGGCGGCGGGCCCAGGGCGGAAGCGACAGGGGGCAGTGATGGGCAAATTTTCCACCTCCACTACCATGTGTAGGACGGGGGAGAAGGGAGGATGAGGAGGTCTTCATCCTCCTCCTCCTCCTCCTCCTCCTCCTCCTCTTCCTCGTCTTCCTCCTCCTCCCTCTCCTACATATGGTAGTGGTGGTGGAAAATGGGCCCGTCAGGCAGGTCTTCTCGGAAGGCCGCGCTTCTCGGAGGCCCTCGCGCCTCCCGAGGATGCCCTGCAGACCTTCCCCGAAGCCACAGACAGACTGTCGGAGGGCGCGGGGGCTTCTGCAAAAAGCCCCGCCTTCTGAGAAGGCCCGCCCCCTCCTCCCTCCTCCTCCCCGTCCTCCTCCTCCCAGTCCTCCTCCTCCTCCTCCTGCTCCTCCTCCTCCTCCGCCTCCTCCTCCTCCTCCTCCTTCTCCTCCTCCTCTCCTCCTTCTCCTCCGCTCGCCGCCGAACCTTTGAAGCACATAGCGAGCGGCCGCATCCCAGGATCCCTGCAGATGGTGGCCCTCTGAACGCACTTTGCGCAGCCAGCACTGCTAGCATGAGCGAAAACTCGCCAACACGCACGGCGGGTGCCACCGGCCACGGCTTCGCCAGGTCAGCACGGCCGGCACCTCCGCTCCGTCAGGAAACACTGACGAGCAGCCCACCATCTGAGTCTGAGAGCGCCCTCGCGCATGAAAGATCCAGTCTAGTCGACGCGACCGAGACCCGTCAACGCGACTGAGTCTCGCAGTAGTGGGAGGCGAGTGCAAGATTGCGCCAAGCACATCACGGGAGTAGTGGGGGCCATCCAGAGAGTGCGCCGAGCACATCTCAGCAGTGGGAGGCGAGTGCAGGATTGCATCTGCGGCAGCGTCTGACCCACGAACGTGGGTCGGTGGGTCCGCCGAGCCCGTCGCCTCAACCGAAGGAGGCGGCGCCAAAGCGGCATCGGCAGGAGGATCGGGAGGGAGGACCAGTGTAAACCCAAGGCGCATCAACGATGTTGCAATAACCCTCCCTCTTAGTTCCCCCTGCATAAGACCCTACAACAAAGCATTGAAATTGGGGGAAGTGGCCCACTAGACGGCAACAGTTTGAGAATCGGCAATCGGGCCAAAACACAACTCCTGGGACTCCAACGCCACGGATCAACGCGACTGTTGCGCCATGACAGTCCTAGGCTGTGCCAGAACAACACGCGTAGGACTTCAACACCACGGTTCAACGTGACTGCGGCGACCTAACAGTCTTACGCCTGCTAGAACACGATCGATCCATGGGACTTCAACCACACGAACCCTTCAAGCTGCTGCAAAACGTTACAAGAGATGCGCGGCGATGAGCGCCAAAGCGTGAGCCACGCTGTGAAAAGAAACCGCCCTCCATCCGTGGAGAGATAAAAAAGAAAAAAACAAAAAAACACTGCGCGCGGCGCTTCAGCAAGAACATCCGCCCGAAACTGCTGCCAAGGCGAGACGAGCGTTTTGAAAACGGACCCCCCTCCCTCCGCGAAGCCGTTGCAAAACTCAAGAAGGCGTGTGCGCAACGCTGAGGCGAAAGCAACAGTTTGAAAACGACAGGCCCTTCATCCATGAAACCGTTGCAGGGTTCCAAGCTTCAGGGCCACAAATGGTGCGGAAAATTCAAGCGAGACGCCCAGCCCGCCAACACGGGCCGTGCGACAGGGAAAAGCCAATCCGCCGGCCCCCTTTGTGGGGACATCAGGCTCGGCGGATTAGGCTTGCTGCTGCCTGCTCCAGTTCCAGTTCCCAGTCTCCGATGTTACGATTCTGTGTTCTGCCAACTACTGTGAATTGATGGAGTCCGCGCGAGGGAGGAGCCGAAAAGGGCCATTATTACCTTCACATGGGAGGGTCTTAAAATTATGGGGTGTCCTGGGACAAGTAAAAATACATGAGATTCGCGCCCCCGAAGCCACAATCCTTCGCAAATCATGCCGTATCCGCGCCCCCGAAGCCAGAATCCTTCCTGAAATACAAAATATTCGCGTCCCCGAGGCCATAAACCATTGCAGATTGAGCTATGTTCACGCTCCGAGAGCGTTTCCTGCGCGTCGCGGGCGCGTCGTTTGAATAAATTGCGAGGAGGTCCCACGCGAGAGCGCGATTCCTGCACAAATTGTGACAACGTCCCGCGAGAGGAAATATCAGGCGGATGCCGCTGTTGTTTAAACCAGGGGTCCACAACACATTTTGGTGATCCCACCCTTTACCTTGTAAGAAACAAGAAACCCCGGGAGGAACACCTGAATTGAAAAACGCGAGGTTGACCGGGCAAGGGGGATCAACAATAATCACTCATCAGAGTTGAGAATTCCAGAATAACAACAAAAGACATTCGTCATGATTTTCTTCACGTCGCAACAGGGTCTGGGGCAGCGGGGTGGATATTCACCCCCAGACCTCTCTTGGGGTGCGCTCCGAGGAAAATCGAGGCGCATCCGCCCGACGGAGCGCCTCCCGGAAGATACAAGAGCGCAACAATAACCCAACGCCTCGGCCACCGATCCCCCCAGATCCCCGGATTCTTCCCTCCATCCATCCCTCCCTCCCCCCCTCCCTCCCTCCCTCCCCCGTCCCTCCCCTCCTCCCTCCCCTCCATCCCTCCCCCCCCGTCCTTCCCTCCCCTCCTCCCTCCCTCCCTCCCCCCCTCCCTCCCTCCCCCCGTCCCTCCCCTCCCTCCCCTTCCCGTCCCCGCCAAACGTCTCCTGGCGGCAACCGAATAAGAAAACACAGCGTAAGTACAAATTTTCGGAGGTCCGCGCGGAGTTTTTGCATCTGCGCTGGCTGGACACCCCTCCCTGGCGCACGGAGCGCGCCAGGGTCGCCGTTGGGGGGGCCCAGCAGCAATCCAAGAAATCCGCCTGGAACTCCGATAAATTATGTTTGCGCAATTTGTTCTTATTCGACGTCCCTTCCCATTCAGACATCACCTCAGATCCGATTTGGTGAGAAAATTACAGCATCGCCAAAAATCACGACAGGAGCCACAGACCCCATCACCCTGCGTCATTGTTCGAGCCCTATCGATATGCGAGGGTCCTGGGGATCGAAGCCTGACGAACACTTGACGGCGCGCACAAGGGGGTATGGGGGCGGGGGGAACAGATCTGGGGGTCTCTGGGCGGCACGGCGAGCAGGAGCCGAGGAGACGTAAGACTCGGGTGCGTGGGACTCGGGTTGGCCTGACGCGGCCATCATGAAAATGACGAGACGCAATCTGAAGCTTGACGCGAGCTCCCGCGGCAAACATGCCACGAAAAATGGACCGTCAGAATCCAGGACGCGCTCGTCCAAAAACGTCGGCAGACCCGAAGTCCGGCTTACTCGACTCTTACGTTTCGCCGAAATTCGGCACACACACACACACACACTTTTTGCGTCGGCGGCTGGGCAGAGGGCGACTGCTCTGGCGGATAGGCAACAGGGGACACGCTGTACGCAACTTGAGGCCGCAGCGCACGGAAAGAGGAGGAGGAGCCCCGGCGCGATGGGAAGAAGGGAAGCCGGGCCACTCAGAGCTGCCGGGGCCCGAATTCCGGCTTACTCGAGTCTCCCAGACCCCCGACGTCATGTTTTTTCCATGACGTCCACCCCCAAAGGTTTCGACCCATTCCCCGGGACCAGCTGGTCATCCTGAGTCGTGTTCTGACGGTCCCGAGGCCCGGTAGAGGCCCCCAGGGGCCGAGAAGAGCCTGCTTTTTTTTAGACTCCTGTAGACTTGCCTGAATCAACAAAAAAAACAGGCTCGAATTGTGAAAAAAACCTCCCGTCGTGAGTTTGTTCACTACTCGAGGGGGCCTGGCCTGGCGTCCCCCCGACGGAGCGGCAGGCCCGGAGGCAGGCGAGGGCGCGGGGCGCACTCGTCGATCTGCCCGCCGCCGATGGACGGCTTCAGCTGCCACTCGCGAGGAGGGTGTGGGGGCGGGCGGGCCGTCCCCCGACCAGGAGAGCCCAAAATCGAATCGACAAGTCGGATCGGAAGTCGACATGAGTCGGATCGGCGGAAATCGGCAGCCGCGTCGGGAAAAGTCGAATCGGCAGAAATCGGCAGGCTAGTATGCCTCCAACAAGAAACAGGAACCCAAATCGGAATCCCAAGTCGAATCGAATCGGAATCGGAAGCCATCGAAATCGAATCAAATCGAATCGGAGGAGTCGAAACGAGCCCTGCCCGACCCCTCCCCGGGCGTGTCCCCCTGCAGGCGGATCTTGGAGGAAGAGCCAGAAATTGTCAAAGAATGCTCCAAAGATTGACCAGACACTGCAGAATCGCGTCCCCAGGCCATGTTTTTTGCTCTTTTTGAGTGTTCCTCCTGCAGAGGAAAGGGCCCGGCTTCAGGGTAGGGGGGTGGGGGGGGAAGGCTTCTCAGGCGAACGTTTTCTTATTCGGCGTTTCGACATCGGGCGGAAGGGGGGAGGGGGGAGGGGGGAGGGGGGGGTTCTGGCTCCAGACCTCTGCTTAATGCGACTGTTTGCAACAGTGCGTCCTATGGGGAGACCCCTGATCGAAACAGGCGCCAAAAACAACAGAGATCCACTCCTTGGGGGGGGGGGGGGGGGGGCGAGGGCCCACGCCGATCGGCAAAACAATGAGTAAGAAAACGATCACCAAAAGAAGGCTGCTTCCTAGCTCCTACAGACAAGGACCCTGCCTCTTAAGAAGCAGGGGTGCTTCTAAGGAGCCTTCCCCCCTACCCCTACCACCCTCTGCGCGTGGCTGACTGGCGAGCTTCGGTGGCAATTCATGGGAGCCTCCCATACCATCTAGTTGACCCACGCTAATCGACGCTCATGGACGCTGATCGACGCTAATCGATGCTAAATCGAAGCGCATCGACGCTAAATCGGCGCTATCCCATGGATTCTGCGACGCTCATCGACGCCAACGCAGTCTGAAGACGGAATTACGAGTGCACACGAGGTTCCCATAATTTGCTACGGCTCCGCTGGACCTCCCAGGAGCGAGCCCACGAACGTGGGGTGCGCGCGGCCCCCGACCCCGCCGGACCTCCCAGGAGCCCACGAAAGTGGTCAGTTGCGCAGTTCGCACCATACCAGGGAGCTGCGAGAATGCGCGTGGCCCCCGACTCCGCTGGACCTCCGAGGAGCCCGCGAGAGTGGCGACAGCTGCGCAATTCGCAACCCAGTCGAGGAACTGCGAGGTCTCGGCTGGATCCGCGTACTCCGCTACTCCGCCGTGCCTCCAAGGAGCCCACGAAAGTGGTCACACTTACGCAGTTCGCAGCCACCTAGAGAGCAGCGAGGTCTCGTCTGGGTGCACGTGGACCCCGACTCCGCCGTGCCTCCCAGGAGCCCACGAAAGTTGCGACAGCTGCGCAGTTCGCAGCCTCCCTGGGAGCTGCCGTGCCTCACAGGAGCCCACGAAAGTGGCGACACCTGCGCAGTTCGCAACCACCCACGGAGCTGCGAGGTCTCGGCTGCATCCGCGTGCTCTGCCAATCCGCCGAGGCCACGAACGCAGCGACAGCTGCGCAGTTCGCAACCACCCAGGGAACAACGAGGTCTCAGCTGGATCCGCGTACTCCGCTACTCCGCCGTGCCTCCCAGGAGCCCACGAAAATGGCGACAGCTGCGCAGTTCGCAACCCAGTCAAGGAAGCAGCGAGGCCCCCGACTCCGCCGTGCCTCCGAGGAGCCAACGAAAGTGGCGACAGCTGCGCGGTTCGCAACCACCCAGGGAACAACGAGGTCTCAGCTGGATCCGCGTACTCCGCTACTCCGCCGTGCCTCGCAGGAGCCCACGAAAGTGGCGACAGCTGCGCAGTTCGCGGCCACCCAGAGAGCAGTGCAGGAGGAGGGGGGAGGAGGAGAAGGAGAAGGAGAAGGAGTGGATACCTTAGCGCTCTATTCAAAAGGAGATCCAACACAAGAGGTTTAGGGATAAAAAATGGCATCCCACTTGGAGTACCATGTGGGACCTGCTGTAGAACACGAACAATCCGTAGACGGAGCTGCGCCGAACGCAACGACCGCGCAGCCTATGAGGCGTCCACCCCGACTGCGTCTATACACGTAACGGCGCCCAGTGTGTCCATAGACGGTTTGGGCTAGAACGTGAGAACGGTATTCGGCAAGGGCCACAGATATTGGTCTTATAGATAGAAGCAGATGTACGTTGCCCTCCAGCATCGCATGTCTGGGGTGGGGTCCTCGCTTTGAAATCCGTGGCGCCGAGCGTCTCATCTCACTCCTCCTTCTCCTCCTCCTCCTCCTCCTCCTCCTCCTCCTGCTCCAGGGCCCTCGAGTCCGAGAAAGGCCCCGAGGCGAGCGGACCGCGTGCGCGCCGACGCGGCCGCCGACGCGCGCGGCCGAGCTCAGTCTCTGCGGGCTCCTCCACGCCCTCTGCCTCATCCTCCTCCTCCTCCTCCTCCTCCTCTCCTCCTCCCCCCCTCCTCCTTCCCCCCCTCCTCCTCCTCCTCCTCCTCCTCCTCCTCCTCTCTCCTCCTCCTCCTCCTCTTCCTCCTTCTCCTCTCCCCTCATCCTCCTCCTCCTCCTCCTCCTCCCTCCTCCTCCTCCTCCTCCTCCTCCTCCTCCTCCTCCTCCTCCTCTCCTCCTCCTCCTCCTCCTCCTCCTCCTCCTCTCCTCCTCCTCCTCCTCTGCCTCCTCCTCCTCCTCCTCCTCCTCCTCCTCCTCCTCCTCCCCCGCCTCCGCCTCCCGATCCGCTGCGCTCGCCTCGCCCAGTCTGGCACACCCCTGCAGCAAAAGCTCGTGCCCCGCAGGGAGCTCTCCCCAAGCGGGATGCCGCCCCCCGCCCCTTTGTCGGGGAGACGTAAGACTCGGGCACAAAAAAAAAGTTTCTTGGGAGGAGGCTGCTCCTTAGAAGGCACCGGCCTTACATCTGCAGACAAGGCCCGCGCCTTCTGAGAAGCAGGGGTGTTTCTGAGAAGCCTTCCCCTCTACCCCCTTCCGCGCGTGGTTGCTAGACGCCCGGTGTGAAAAAATTGCAGCAGCGCCAAGATCTGGGGGTCTCTCGGCGGCACGGCGAGCAGGAGCCGGGGAAACGTAAGGCTCGGGTACGGGGGACTCGGGTTGGCCTGACGCGGCCATCACGAAAAATGACGGGACCCCATGAGCTCCCGCTGCAAGCATCTCACGAAAACTGGACCGTCAGAATCCAGGACGCGCTCGTCAAAAAAATGTCGGCAACTCCGACTTCTGGCTTACTCGAGTCTTACGTTTCCTCTAATTCCGGCACACACACACCCACACACACACACACACACACACTTGTTTTGCGTCGGCGGCTGAGCAGAGGGCGACTGCTCCGGCGGATAGGCAACAGGGGACACGCTGTACGCAAATTGAAGCCGCAATGCACGGAAGGAGGAGGAGGAGCCCCGGCGCGACGGGAAGAGAGGAAGCCGGGCCACTCAGAGCTGCCGGCTGCGGCGGGGGGAGCGCCGCGGAGGGAAGCAGCGCCGGCACAGGGAGCTCCACCTGCGGCCCCCGCGGGATGCCGCCCCCCGCCCATTTCGGCACACACCCACACACACACACACACACACACACACACCACGTGTCACGCAACACAGGGAGCTCCACCTACAGCCCCAGTGTCGGTGGTCTGGTGCCCCCCCCGCCCATTGCGGCACACCCCTCAGGCGTTTCGCGTCCCACGGAGAACTCCACCTACGGCCACTGCGGGCAAGCTTGCAGTCCGCCCCCTGCCTGTTCGTGCGCCACAGAGAGGCAAGCTTGCATGCCGCCCCCCTTGTTCAAGCGAAGCGCCCTTTTCGGAGGCACGCAAGCTTTTTACAACCCCATGATCATCGCGACGTAACAAGCGTGGTCGTGACTCACACGCGGTCAACTGTTGGCAAGATGGATGTGCAAGCGCCCAGTGCAACATTTCCAGTGGCAGCAGGAAGGGCGAACACAGAATGGGAAGAGGATCTGGAAATGGGAGAGGAGGGATGAGAAACGGAAAGGGAAGGAGGCAAGGAAGTGGCGAAGGGGTGGAAGAGGAAGAGGGGAAAGGATCTCCATCGAGGGATTTCAAAAAGACCTTCTGGAGGCGATCGCAGCAGTCCTCGCCTGCAGGCGTTACTCTAACCCCGAAACCGGACTGCTGTAATCATGCAAGGGTGAGCCGTGGGTTCGAGTACTGCGACCAGACCATCCGCCCGAGCGTCTCTCTCAAAGCGCGCGTGCTGGCAGGCACCGCGAGCCGATGAGAGAGGCAACGTATCCGCAGTAGACCTTCTGGAGGCGATCGCAGCAGTCCTCGCATGCAGGCGTTACTCTAACCCCGAAACTGGACTGCTGTAATCATGCAAGGGTGAGCCGTGGGTTCGAGTACTGCGACCAGACCATCCGCCCGAGCGTCTCGCTCAAAGCGCGCGTGCTGGCAGGCACCGCGAGCCGATGAGAGAGGCAACGTATCCGCCGTCACACTACAATCAGCATTTGTGTCGCTGTCGTCGTCGCCCTCGACATCGTCGTCACGCTCTGTCTGCTTCGATCAGACCTGCTCCAGACATTATGAGAAAGGGGGCATCACCCTCCCAGACAGGCCCTTTCTGACCCCTGTCTGACCCCCCCCCCGTCAAGACAGCTCGAGACACCCCCACCCCGCCCCCTCACCCAAAAAAAGAGAAGTATCCTCCTTGCTTGTATCACGAAACCCAGATGAATGGATCGAAACTGCAAATAGTTCAAGCGCACGCAACGGGCGAAAGCACCTGAAAGTGGCCACCTTTCGCGTTCATCTTGTCCTCCCACTCGGGGCCTGGATGTCAATGCGGAGAGAGCGAAGCGGAGACAGACAGGCAGCCAGATGGAGCACGACGGCACAGAGGACACAAACGACGTCGCAGGACGGGCGGGCGAGAACAAGACACAGTTCTGGCCCAGCAGGTGCAATGGCAGTGCTACCTCTTCCCCCCTCCCTCGTCCTTACTCTCACAGCAGGCAACCACATAAGAAGATATCGGAAGCTCCAAGGAAGAACTCGGCAAGGCGTATCTTGGCCCAGGGCTCGAGATGTCCCCAAGTTCTTCCAGCTAGCTCAAAGCAGGGTGTGGTGAGCTCACGACACACCATCGGCCAGTGCAAGCGCGCTCGAGCCCTGCCCCCAAGGAGGCGAACCCACTGGTAGAGAGCAGCGTGCGCCGAGAGGGGCCATCGGACATGGGACATGAGAAGCATCCTTCGAGAACACGAGACCCTCCGTCGGCCAAAGCAAACAGAACAGCCAAGGGTACCCTCCCCAGGATGCGCAAGAATATCCAAAAAGCACGAAGAGCACTAGGATACCATCCCAAAGCCGACCTCGATCTTAAACATCGATCCGACTGGAAGCTCAAAACTGATATGGATGAGGATGATGAGGAGGCCTGATCATGAGATACACAAAGAAGTTGAGGAGAGGGAGGAGGCGGAGCCATGGCCACACGGCAGCAGACCGAGTGCTGCAGCCGGGAGATGGAGAACTGATCTGCTGGTCTGCTCAGCTGCTCCGCTCCCCGAGGAGGGGACGAAACGGCGGCCGCGGGTGGCTGAGCCCCGGGCGGATGTTTTCGCGGAAGATCATGATGGCGTCGATGACATGCAGACTACCATCTGGCTGCTCCCGGACCTGCTCCCGGCGAAGCCCCGAGCAGATCGCGCATAGAGGCAGGGAATGATGATCCTTACGGCGACAGAAAACGAGAGACCACCGCAGAGAAATGGATAGACTGCGCAAAGGGCTGCGGGAGCAAGCGAGAAGAGGATACGAGAGAGTCATACCCCAGACCCCATGCGCGTCGCCGTCGTTATCATCACTGGGGGTTTTCCTCAGGCTTTCGCTGGCAGCGGTGACACGAGGCGACGAGGCTGCGTGGCCAAGCCCTTCCGAATCGAAGACTTGCCAACCATCCCACGCGGCAGGCCCCCGAGGACAGGCCAAGAGGCCACGGGGCCACGCCGAAAGGGTATTATGTCGGGCATCTCCACCTACAGGCGGATTTTGGGCGAGAAAAAGTCGAACGGTCAAAAATTCGCTGGCCCAACGGGCCAGAGGCGTGCTAAGATCTCCGGCAACTGGTTAACAATAACTCTATACTTCGCGCGCGCGAAGCGGCCCAAGACGCCCAACACGGCCTCAAGACGGCCCAAGAAGCTTCCAAGACGTCCCAAGAGAGCCCCGACCCTTTCCAAGAGAGCCCCAAGAGGCCAAAATCATTGATTTGCACTGGGTGTTTGAAGGTTTTTGGCTTCCTCGCCTTTTCGCGTTTCCGACGCTCCAAGACGGCCCAAGAAGCCTCCAGGACCACTCCAAGACGGCCCAAGAGGCCTCCAAGAGAGCCCCAAGACCGCCCAAGAGGGCCCCACGACAGTCCAAGAGGCGCCCAAGACGGTCCAAGAGGACCCCAAGAGGGCCCCAAGTGGGGCCCAACATGGAGACCACGAACCGAGAATCCGAGCCTTCAGCTCCAAGAGGCCTCCTGGAGGCTCCAAGAGGCCCTTAAGAGGCCCCAACAAGCGACACGGTCCACGAGGACCCCAAGAGGGCCCCAAGAGGGCCCAACATGGAGACAAAGAGCCTCCAGGACCACCCCAAGACGGCCCAAGAAACCTCCAAGAGAGCCCCGAGACCGCCCAAGAGGGCCCCACGACAGCCCAAGAGGCGCCCAAGACGGTCCAAGAGGACCCCAAGAGGGCCCTAAGAGGGGCCCAAGATGGAGACCACGAACCGAAAATCCGAGCCTTCCGCTCGGCCTCCTGGACGCCCCAAAAGGCTCCTAAGAGGCCCCAGAAAGCGACAAGGAACCCGAAAGAGACTCCAAGAGGCTCGAAAACGACTCCCGAGAGTCTCCAAGAAGCTCTCGAGAGGCATCCCACGAGATCCCAATGAACGTCCCCCTCCTCCTCCGCCCCCTCCTCCCCCTCCTTCTCCACCTCCTCCTCCTCTCCCCCCTCCTCCTCCTCCTCCTCCTCCTCCTCCTCCTCCTCCTCCTCCTCCTCCTCCTCCTCCTCCTCCTCCTCCTCCTCCTCCTCCTCCTCCTTCTCTGCCACTCGCCTTTTCCACGCTCGCGCTTCCACCCTGCTACCCCCAAAACCCCGCCCCCCTTCACACACGACAACACATAGCAGCGGAGGGATTAAGTAGAGAAGAAAAGGAAACTGCAGAATGTTGTCTTGTTCCCTGCGATCGTATTCACGAGCCGCCACCTTCCGAAACAGAAGGTTCAGGCGGGCAAAGAATGGTTCCCGCCTGCGAAATCACCCAAAGCCAGCCATCCATAAACAAAAAACGACCCAGCAGCACCCCATTGCCAACGATCACACGGGCACTCGACAGCCCTGTACCAATACGGGCCGGCGGAATGAGCGAAGCGATTAAATAATCGAAACATCGTCCGCAGACGAACCTATATTTGAACATTCCTCCTGTAGAAGGACATGCCCGACTTCAGGAGAGCATGGAGCAGCGGCGAGTGCGACGGCCCTGAGCCAGTCCACCCGTGTCGCTGGAGACTTGGAAATGGGCACCAACACCAGCACAGGGGGGTGCCTCCACCGGGGAAGGAGGATCCTAAATTTTGGTGTTGGTGGCGGTGGTGACATGTCGGCCACCTGGGATGCCCAGCATTACCACCATCACCGAGATCGGGATCATCTTCCCTCGGTGGAGGCTCACCGCCGATATTGGTGCTGGTGTTGGAGGCTCACCGCCGATGTCGCTCCCCCTCACTCCATGTTGGGGGGCGAGCGAGGGGGGCAAGTGCGAAGGAGCAGGCCTTCTCAGAAGGCGGCGAGGCTTCTCAAAAGCCCTCTGGCCTTCTGAGAAATGTACACCTTGCGAAATGCTTTAGAAATCATGGGTTAAGAAATTCATAGTCTCAGAACTCGAATAAAAATAATCGAGACTCTGGCCGAAAACTTAAGTTTTCTTAAGCATCGCCTAAGGTGTACCCTGTCTTCGTGGAAGGCTCAGGAAACTGATCAAAGGCCCGATGCTTTCCGAGCCTCCTGAAAAGGCCCACCCCCTCTCGGACGCCTGTTGGTTTTTCGGTCATAATTCGGCTCTCCGGTGGCCGTTCGGGGCGATCTGGGCAACCACAGAACGCCTTCGGCGAGACGCAGCCGCTGGAGCGCATCCCGGGGCTGGAAAACCGCCGAAAATCGCCAAAACCGCCCGAGAACCTCGAACCTCGAAAACCGCGAAACTTCCTCCCCATCTCTCACACGTTCATTCCCCGTGCCTTTGTCGGCTTCGTGCGTGAAGTTTCTTCGCAGAGGATCCAAGGTGCTCCCCGATGGCCCTCACCGAGGGAAGATGCACACGTCCGAGCTCCCCCCCCCCACCAGCGAGTAGGAAAAGCTTTGAAGCACCAGAAAGGCCAGTCGCCCAGGGCCCGTCGGGGAGTCGGCCAGTCGGCCCGTCGGGGAGTCGGCCAGTCGGCCAGCCGGTCAGGCGGCCAGGAGGGGGGGGAATCGGAGAGACAATCCAGACCCAGGTCAGTCAGGCCTTGCCGAATCCTGCCAGATCCTGCAGGATCCTGCACCCGAACCCAGGTCAATGCGGCCCTGTCCCTGCAGGATCCTCCTCCTCCTCCTCCTCCTCCTCCTCCTCCTCCTCCTCCTCCCTCCCTCCCTCCTCCTCCTCTGCCCCTCCTCCTCCTCCTCCTCCTCCTCCTCCTCCTCCTCCTCCTCCTCCCCTCCTCCTCCTCCTCCTCCTCCTCCTCCTCCTCCTCCTCCTCCTCCTCCTCCTCCTCCTCCTCCTCCTGCTCCCTGGCCAGGCCCCTCCTGAACGCGGCAGCGGCGCATACGCCGCGCCCTCCTGGCTCGGCCAGGAGGGCGTCTACACAGCTCCTGTGCCCAGGGAGGGCCCAGCCAGGGTGCGGTGGATATGTATAGATTGCGTCGCCCGGCGACGGCGACCACGCAGAGGAGACGGTCGCCTGCAGCGACAAAGTAGGAGACGTCCAAGGAGTTCTGGAGTGCCTAGCCGCCCTCGCTTGTGCTCTTCTGTTTTGGACTCCGCCTGGGATCGTCAGAAGGCGCCCGCAGGACGACAGAGCGGGCGGGGGACAGAGAGGGGAGAGGAGGAGGCACACAAGACTACGTGGCAAGCCCGGCGCGACGCACGCACGCGCGGCACCACTCACTGCCAGCAGTGCCAAATCGCCGAACCCTGCGGTAGTCGCTGCATTCGATGGGGCGCACAGAGACATACTAGTACGATGTGTCCTTCTTGGAGGCGGGCGTCCGACCAGAACATAGTATACCCATCTTGTAGTACATGTTTTCCCGAGCGGCGTGGCCGGAAGGCGCCCGCCACGACGCATACACTATGAGATTTCGCGTCGCCCCAGGGGGGGCGACGCATACATAATATTAGCACGTTATGGTGACCCCGACTCGAGGGCCAGTGGACAAAGCTGGACACCACCAGGAGCATCGCCAGGGCGACTGAGGAGATGCCGACGATTGCCGGAAGCGTTGCAGTGCGGTCCAGCACTGAACCGCCGAGCCGGGCCACCCGGACAGCACGATCCGCATCACGGTCGTCCTCTTCAGGAGAAGGTGCACTTGGAAGATACAATGGAAGCCAGTCCACAAGAAACCTTCCACAAGGAACCCAATCCTGAGACCCCAGGACGTCCCTCGATGTTTGACGTGGGAACGCCGCGCTTTCCGTAGCAAAACCATCGAGACCCAAGAAACCCGGGGAACCCTGAAGGCAAGCAGGGTGTTTCGTGGCATGGGCCTCCACTGTATCGTCTGCCACTTTCGTGACCGAGGGCTTCAAGGAGGACCCCGCGCTGGGCATGTGCAGTGACAGGTGCAAGAACGCCACCATCGCCCTGCGACTGGCCCCTGGCAGGGACGAAGACAGGAAATTATTTGTTCCAGGCAATGAAACCATGAACCTTCGCGGGGAGAGTTCCGCAAGGAACAGGAAGAGGAGGCGGACCATGAGTAGCAAAATCATCATGGACGGCGTTGGTAGCCACGCAAGCGCCGGCCAACTCCTGCAAAATCTTGCCAAAGAAGTTGTCCGCCGAAACCTCGGCGACACGCCGCACCAAGTTGTAAGCCTGCCCGAGCCAGGCAAGCTCCTTAGGGGAACCATCCGACAGCTGGCCACCACGTCGCAGCGCACGGTCAGCTCGTTCGAACCCTTCGAGATGGCGGCCCGCCGCCGCCGAAGGCTCCAAGAGCAGCCGCCCGTGAAAGTCGCATGTGATGGGATGGGGGGCCGCGGCCAACTGCATGGGAAAGACTGAAGCCTGCCCACAGAAGGGGAGGTATGATGGTCACACAACCTGGCCGACAAAAACGGCCACGGGCGGTTCTCGTTTGTGCAGCCCGTGGGGAACAGTGGGAAACATTGGAAGCCCTGGGGGTCTACTTAGCCTGGCGAAGGACCTAAACATATGCCGTTGTGAAAACCACAGTTGTGGGTATCACCTTCGGTGGAGCTCCCTATGGGCCACGAAACGCTGTACTGGATAGGGGAGACGCATGCGAACTTTACCACTAGGGCCTTCGGTGGAGCTCCCTATGGGTCCACATAACGCTGTGCTGGGTGGGGGAGCCGCATGTGGACACCGACACTGGGGCACAAGGTGGAGCTCCCTATGGGGCCATGAAACGCTGTGCTGGGTGGGGCAGAGGCATGTGGACACCGCCACTGGGGCCTTAGGTGGAGCTCCCTATGGGGCCACGAAGCGCTGCACTGGGCGGGGGAGAGGCATGTGGACACCATCACTGGGGCCTTCAGTGGAGCTCCCTATGGGGCCACACAACGCTGTGCCGGGTGGGGAAGACGCATGTGGACACCGCCACTGGGGCAACAGGTGGAGCTCCCCGTGGGGCCACGAAACGCTGTGTTGGGTGGGGCAGAGAGGGAGGAGGGAGGAGGAGGAGGAGGAGAGAGGAGGAGGAGACGCGGGGCGCTGTCTCTTCAAAACCAGGACCCAACACCACAGGATGGTTGGGAAACAGCCTTGGAACCCATAACAATAATAATATTCATAAGAATGCTAATATTAATCATAATGACAATAATAATGATGATTATAAAAATAATAGTCATAACAACAAGAATGACAATAACGTCAATAATAAAAAACCTGATAACAACAACGACAATCAAAATAATAACAATAATACTAATGCTAATCATCATCATACTCATCATCCACATCATCATCATCATCAGCAGCAGCAGCAACATCAGCATCAGCATCAGCATCAGCATCATCATCGTCACCATCAGCAGCAGCATCAGCATCAACATCAGCAGCATCAGCATCAGAATCAGCATCATCATCATCAGCATCATCAGCACCATCATCATCAGCATCAGCATCAGCAGCATCTTCATCATCAGCATCATAGTCATCATCATCAGCATCACCATCATCAGCATCACCATCATCATCATCATTAGCATCATCATCATCATCATCAGCATCAGCATCATCATCAGCATCATCATCATCATTTTCATCATCAGCATCATCATCATCATCATCGTCATCACCACCGTCATCAGCATCATCTTCACCAGGACTACCATCATCAACAACACTAGAATAGCAGCAACAACAACAACAGCAGCAGCAGCAACGGCAACAATACCAGAAACACCAAAAACAACAAATAAACTGCAGCAACAACAACATCAATATCATCGTTACCAGCATCACCGTCATAATCATCAGCCGCATCAGCATCAGCATCAGCATCAGCATCATCACCATCGTCAAGAACAGCATCATCCCCATCAACATCACAATCATGAGAATCATCATAATCATGATCAGCGTCCGCATCACCATCACCATCACCATGACCAGCATCAACAACATCAGATTCAGCATCAGCATCAGCATCATCATGATCATGATAGCGATCATGATCATGATCGTGAACACAACATCATCACCGTCATCAACAACAACCTCGGCATCATCATCAGCATCATCATGAGCAGCAGCAGCAGCATCGGCATCAACATCACCATCATCATCACCAGCAATAGCATCGTCATCAACAGCAGCATCGTCACCAGCATCATCATCATCAGCATCATCATCATCATCAGCAACAGCATCATCATCATGGCTGTTTGCTCCTCGAATGAAAAGAAGAAGCCCTGCCCCCTTCGAGTCCAGGCCAGTCGGCGCCTGGTCCCCGAGGCTTCTTCGCGCGGGGGCCCTGGCCGCGCTGGGCGGACCATGCGCTTCGGCTCCAGCAGCTCGCTCGGCTGGGGCATGTGATTCCAGAGCTTCCAGAACTCCTGGGGGCTGGCGGCGGGGAAGGGGAGAGAGCCAGGGGACGCGGAATAGAGCAGGAAGAGGAAATCCTGACATCCTCTATCAGGGGAAAAAATCAGGACGGAGATGTTTGTCTGGGACCACCAAAAATCCCGACGGTAGAACCCAAATGAGCGTTTCCGTGGTTCGTTTGGGAATAATCCTCACCTCCTGTTCCGTCCCATCCCTGGGATGACAAAACATGAGGTGCGGACCACATAGGGAAGTGGTTCCAGCCTTAAACATCCTCGCACGTCACTCACAGACAAGGTTCCCCGCCCAAAACCTCCGACCTACTCAATGACGGCAGACATAACGTGTGGGCCCCATGGAAAAGGGGGCTCCCGCTTGAGACTTCCTCGCAATTCACTCACAGACGGGACACCCGCCAGAGACTTCCTGAAAAAAATCACCCCCGAGCGCAAAAGTGATGACAGATGTAAATTTCGAACGACTCCCTGTGACTTTAAACATGAAGGGCTCCCGTTTGAAATTTCTTCGCGTGTCACGCACAAACGAAACACCTGCATAAGACTTCCTGAAGACTCAAGCCTCACGGGCCCAAACGTGACGATGGTTACAAATTTCGGCGGACCCACCAGGATTAAGAATACAAGCTGCGGGCCCCAATGACAGGTGAGGCTCCCGCCTGAGACGTCCTCGCAGTTCAGAGGAATAAAGCCTCGGAGGCCCTGATGATGAAGAGGAAGAGGGGGAGGAGGAGGGGAATGAGGGGGAGGGGGAGGAAAATGATGATGATGATGATGATGATGATGATGATGATGATGATGATGATGATGATGATGATGATGATGATGATGATACTGATGATGGCGATGGCGATCGTGATGATAATGGCGATGATGATAAAGACGGCAACAACCATGACGACAACGACGACGACGACGACGATGATTTTGATGGTGGTGACGATGATGACGCGGGTGGTGATGGTGATGGTGATGGTGATGGCGACGCTGATGATGCGTGAATGCGTGAGTGTGTGAATGGGTGGGTGGGTGGGTGAGTGCGGGCGGGTGGGCGGGTGGGCGATAATCATCATATCCCATTTCTGGTGCCAGGGGCAATACCTGCCGCCTAGGGGCGAAGACGGTTATCTCGCTTGACAGAAGGGGCACCACCAGACAGGACAGTGCAGCAACTCGAGAGATACATAGGCGAGAGAGGGAGGAAGGGAGATTTGAGCCGAGTGTTGCGGCACGGACCATTTCACAACGTCCAAACCACTCAGCAAGCAAGCAGCTAGATGATCATAGTCCACTCCAGGTACCAGGGGCAATATCCGCTGCCTGGTGGCGAGGGCGGTTATGTCGCCTGACAGAAAGGGCGCCACGAGATAGGACAGCGCAGCAGCCAAACTCGAAAGATACGTGGGAGAGAGATGAAGGGAGAGAGGGAGGCTTGAACCGCAGTGCTGCGGCACGCACCATTACAACGACCAAACCACTCAGCAAGTACTTGCATGATCAAGCTCCATTCCTGGTGCCAGGGACCATCTTTGCTGACTGGGGGCGACGGCGGTTATCTCGCCTGACAAAGAGGACGCCACGCGACAAGAAAGTGCAACAGCCAAACTCGAGAGATACGTAACCAGCATGCTCGCGCACCCTGGCTCATAGGCCCCCCAACAGTAACCATCACTGCGGATGCACAAGACCGTTACTGAGGCCTTCGCTTCGCAAAGTTTGTCATGAGCCAGCCAGCACACGACTGCGCGACTTGCCGTGGACATTTGTTCACGCGGTGAACTCAAGGCAAACCGCGGCACTCAACCCCAGAAGTGGACACATGGAAATGACGACTGCCAGACAAGCACCGCCACGGCCAGAACACAGCAGACAGACGGACAAGAGCGGATATAAAGAAGCCCAAGACCACACCTCAGTCGGAAGGGGATGCACGCCCCATACTGGCAGAAGTTTAATTCAGCGGACTGGCTGGCCAATGAGCACGCATGCCTAGAGAAGGCCACGTGGATCGATGGGGGCGCTGGCAGGAGACCAACAGTCACGGGGACCTCCAGACGGCGGCACTCGAGGATCACCGCGACGGACCCCAGGAGCCCCGAGACCGAGCGGAGATAAGCCCAGGCGAGCAGACAGGGGGGGCTCAGACGCCCTAAGCAGCCGATCCACGAAGCCACCCCATGATCCCCTGGCGCACCGCGGGTCGAGACCAATCGACAGCCTGGCGCCTACTGGGACCGGAGCAGATGGCAGCACATCCATGGGAACGCAACCTGCGCACGATGGACCACGCAGCGGCCCCGAGCCGACGAATACAGAGCGAGGCAACGCGCGGGCGCCGGGCAAAGCGGCACAGAGCTGCCGAATCAGATAGCCGCCCACCCGGTCGACAGAGACGGCTTCGACCCACGAGACGGCGCGGCCTGCCCGAGGGAAACGGGCCTGAGGGGCCAGGGGCAGCCGACCCCATCCTCTTCACGAGGCTCGCGTCCACCAGCTGGCTGAACGTCGGCGCATCGTCGGGCAGGTCGTTCAGCTGCCGCTGCGACTTGGCCCGCCTTGTATCCCGCCGAAGGGGGCGGCCCGCGACCCACCCGGGGCAATTCCTCACGTCGCGAAGAGACCGCCGCGCAGACAGGAGGTCGCCGCTGGCCGCGCTCCGACGCAGCACGCACAGAGAGGGCCGCGCCTCCAGGCCGAGGCGCCCCGCCGCCCGGCCGCAGGCGTCGCGCGCGCCAGCCGCCGCGAAGGCCCACAGGGCCGCGCCGCCAGGCCTGGCGCACTTCAACGCCGCCCACAGCGGCCGCCACCCAACCCGATCCAGCGCGACGCTGTCGTCGGCAGAGCCCGTCGCGCCAGGTCGCCCGCCCTCGCTCGCTTTCAGGATGACGCCCCGCCCCCCGCCACCACGCCCCGCCAGCGGGTTGGGCGGCGCGAGCGAGTCGCCGCGGAGCCAGCGCGCCCCCGAGGGTCGGAAGTCGCCCGCGAAGGCGAGGACCACGAACACCGCAGAGGACAGCTGGCCGATAGACAGCACGACCGCCACGACAGCGGGGCGAGGCATCGGGAAGCACATGCACGGAGGCTTCAGCTTCTGCCAGCCCTCGACGGCCTTGCACGCCGAGGCTCGCGGGGGGCCCAGGCGACGGCGGCAAGTGGCGCACCGCCGCCATCGCGACCTCCCCCGTCGCCGCGGAGCCATCCAAGTCCAGGCGCGCCAGGAAGCCCACCGTGATCGCGACGAGCCCCTGAGCCGACGACCACGTCAACCCCCTCCACAGGCACCGGGCGACCTGCCCACGGGCGCGGGCCGCGGCGCAGCGTTTCGCGGCGGCGCCCGCGAACGCCGCAGACCCCAAGAAGCTCGGGCGCCCGCCCGCCAGCTCCGAGAGCGACGCCCGCGGGGCTCGCCCCTGGAGGGCCGGCGCCGCGGCCCGAGGAGTCCGCCCAGCGCGGCCACGCCCACCGCAGAGAGGAGGCCTCGACCCACTCTCCGGGACCCGCCTTTGGCCCTGACAGCCCTTCCGGGGCCCCTAGACGGGGCGGTGGCCACACCGCGCGGTGAGTCCGTGGGGGCTCGGGGTCGCCGCACGGTTTTGGGACTCGGGTCCTCCTCTGAGGACGTCTCGGGCGACAGGGGCCCCCGAGCGCCCGCCGCCGCCCCGATCGCCCCCAGCTCGCGGCGGCCCCGCGCAGAAGCCAGACATCGAGGGCCCTCGGCCGGGCCGAGCTCTCCGACGGCGCCCGGCGCGCGCAGGCCCCGCACAGCCCACGGCGAGCAGCCGCGAGGCGACGCGCCGCAGCGGCCCGCCGAGGTCGGCCGCGCGACCGCGGCCCGGCCCAAGGCAGGGGGATTTTCGACAATTTTAAATATATATATATATATATATATATATACTCTCTCACACACACACACACACACACACACACACACACACACACACACATATATATATATATATATATATATATATTATATATATATATATATATATATATATATATATATGTATGTATATATATATGTGTGTGTGGATTATGTTTTGATTATTCTCGGGATAGACTTAATTTAGTTGTCAAAATCCCCCATGTATGGGGGACAGGCCCGACTTAACGGTGGCCCCGCAAGGACCCCGACCCCGAGCGGAGGAGGCGATGGGGGGCGAACTCCAACGCGCCCCGCCCCAGACCCCAACGCGCCCCCCCACCCCCGGCGCGCGCCCCGCGACCAGCGGGCCACCTCCCAGCCGGGCTCCTCCAAGACGCCCCCGGGGGCCTCGACGGCGCCAGGGGGCTCACCCCGGCGGCAGACGTGCTCTCGAGGGGCGTCGACCTAGACGGGCCACGGCAACCTCTGCGCCCCTCGCGGCCCGCAGCGGGCAGAAGAGGCCCTCCAAGAGCACGACCACCAGGGACAGGAGCAACGCATCCAGGACCCCCGAGGGCCTCAGAAAAAAAGCATGAATTCTGGCGGCGGCGACGTCGCCGAACCGGCACCTCACCTTCTCACCGCGCCGCATATCAGCAACGACTGCGAAGCGAAGCTTACGAGGACATGCTCCGACACCAGATCCGAAAAAATGTGATGCCGCGACATCAGTGGCCCACGGCAAGCGAAAAGATGTAGCCCACAGAGGCAGCTGGACCAACTGGAGCCCCCTGGAGACCCCGCCCCAGATCTTGAAGCGCTCGGCAACACGACTACGAGCGAAGGCAAACGCAGCGGACATCAAGGATTAGGCCCCCCTCCTGCTCAACATAGCCCGCGCGATATGCCCAACGCGCGTAGAATTGGCACGAGGAGGAATCTTTCCGCGACACAGCACTGAGCGAATCCCGAACCGCGGCCGAGCAAAGCGAGCACAAGGCACCCGCACGGCGCCGCGACCCGTCGAACTCCAGCCCAGTAGACCATACAAGCCCGCGCCTCCTGACACTCATGCACGCGGAGGAGACGGCCGCCAATCGCCCTTTCCGGACGTTGTGAGCAAGCTCCCTTGAACCCGCCAACGCAGAAGTTGGCGACGCAGGCGGCCACGGCCCAGTCGTCGGCGCAACCGAGCGCGGGCGGGCGCGGGCCGTCGACATTGGAGCAGTCCACGGCCACTCCCGCGCCCCACGACGATGCCAGCTACGGCGCCCCGGGAAAAGTGAAGGGCCCAGTTCCACCCCACTGGCGTCGCCGAAATCCCAGATACCACGCCCACGTCCAGCGCGAGACCGCCCAGCCGCAGAACCCGACCCACGATGCACGGCAAGGTGAGAGCGCGGGCCAGCACCGAGAGCAGCCCCATGTGAAAGAAGGCCACTCGATGTCCGCCGCCGCCGCCACGCAGCGGTCAACCTCGCTGCCAACGACGCCCCTGTCGGCAGCTCGGCACCAGCAAGTTTGACGAACGCAGGATTTGCGACGCGCGCGCCAAACACCCGTTCTGAGGCTGCCGCCCTTCCTGGCCACGAAGAACACTCCGACAGGGGGCTGCCCTCGATCCCTGCGGGAACGGGGCCCAAGCATCCCGGCCGCGTCCTGTCGCCGAAGGAAGGCGGCATAGCGGTCGGGGCTGCTCATCAGAAGGGAGTCGACGTTAGGCTCGACAAGTCCAGTCTCTTCGCCCTAGCCGAGAGATAGCGACCAGACTGCAAAAGTTTGCCTAGGTTGCACGGGGTCGCCCTATCAGCGGGCCTGGACACTGCGACCTCGGCGCATTGCCCCACCGAAGAACCATCATCGCGAAATCCCCACGCCTGAGCGAGCAACTCTTCAAGCGCAGCATCCGCGAGGGCGCCGTTGATAGGCAGCTCGGAGGACCACGAAAAACACTGAACGGAGTCGGCCACTAGCTCCAGCGCTAGCCTCTGAAGTATGTTCGAAGCCCCACCGGGCGACCGAACCTCCCCCCCAACTGCGCTGGCCGTTGAGGTAGGTCACTGAAGCTAACGATGCCCTCGCTGGCTCAGCTGCACCATGTAGCGCCGCGGCCACAATGCGCAGGTGGCGAGCACGGCGCGAGCGGCAAAAATGGCGTCGGTGTGCCATAGCAACCAAGGAGGAAGAAGAAGAAGAAGAAGAACTGATGAACTAAAATTGAAGTGTGTATGCATGCATACATACATACATACATGCATGTATGAATGCATGCATGCATGCATGCGTGCATGCATACATACAAACACATACACACATACATACATGCATACAGACATACAAATGTACATACACACATGCACACATACACACATACACACATACACACATACACACATACACATATACACAAATACACACATACATACAGACATACATACAGACAGATATACAGACGCACGTGTATGCATGCATGCATGCGTGCATGCATGCAGACATACATGAACACATATGCAGGAATGGCACCTGGAGAAAGAGAGAGAGAGAGAGAGAGATAGCGAGAGACATGTAAGAATATAAATAAGTATATGCATAGCTCGCAACGGCTCCCGGGCCAGGAATCCTTTTCCTTCTGGGACACCAGAGGGCCAGGCATTATCAAGAGCCGATCGAGCTGAGAGGCGGCAGAGGCTGGACGGAGCGCGACGGCGCTCGCGCGAACCACCCGCGCGGCCCGCACCCCGTCAAATTCGTGCGAAGAGGCGTGTCGGGATGGCCATGGGAAAAACTGAGAGCCAAATTATGAGTACGTCGGACCTCTGCCTCTGTTTAGCCCCCAGTTGTGAAAACTGCCAGCTCGCAACGGCTCCGAGGCCAGGAATCCTTTTCCTTCTGGGACACCAGAGGGCCAGGCATTATCAAGAGCCGATCGAGCTGAGAGGCGGCAGAGGCTGGACGTGGAGCGCGACGGCGCTCGCGCGAACCACCTGCGCGGCCCGCACCCGATCCCGAAGGCACAGTTGGCCGGAGGCCGCACACACACACACACACACACACAAAAAAAAAAAAATCATTTCATAGCTAGAGACAGGAGGGCGAGGCCGGGCTGAACGCGCATCGCATCGATGATGCACTGAGTGGCGGCCAGAGCGAGAGGGCGAGGGTACTCAGCGGCCACCGCGGTGCGCTCTCGCCCCTGCTCGTCGTTGCACTCCAAAATGGCATGATAATTGCCAGCCCTGCTGCAGATGCCTCTCTTACCTGTGCACGCTCGTTCCAGCGCGCGTGCGGAGCAGGCGCCCCAGGACAAGATGGTGGTAGCCTTCTTATACTTAGCCCCATACTGGCACTGGCGCAATACAGACTTATGGCGACAAGATCTGCGACAGAGACGAGCGAGCTGTATAATAATATTTTTTCGGATATATATATATATGTGTATATATAACACAAACAAAACAGGAAGAATAAGAAGAAGAAGAAGAGGAAGAAAAAAAAAAAAAAAAAAAAAAAAAAAAAAAAAAAAAAAAAAAAAAAAAAAAAAAAAAAAAAAAAAAAAAAAAAAAAAAAAAAAAAAAAAAACGGGACTGCGGGCGGCGAGGCAAGCACGAATTATTATGATAGTCACACGCATAATGGCATTACCAGCGGCGGCAACTCGGGCCTGTTCTGCCTCCGAAAGCCCGGGTAGCCCAAGTGGGTGGCTGTCCGATCGAAGAGGGCGCCGCAAGGCGCGCGTCCAGCTGGTGCATGGGGCGCCCAGCCAGACAGCGCCGACGGCTCGAGATCGGATCCATCCAACGACGGTGGCAATGAATGCTGGCCGCACGCGGTCCTCTAGCGGGCTGCGATGCCAGCCCAGCCCGAAGGCGGCGAGGCCACAGGCGAGCACCGCCTTGGCAATCGTGCCGGCCCCGCAGAAGAGCTCCAGGACAGGACGGCGCCGCAGGGCTCGGCCCGGCGCAGCCGCGCGCTGGCGCTGCCGCTGCAAGTGCCGCCTCACAGCGTCCGCAGGCGGGCCGCCCTCGTCGGCGCCAGCAGTGTTGCCGCTGGCCACTTGCGAGCCGCCCGCCTCCTCAAGTGGCCGCGCTGGGAGGCGGGCGCCTGCGCCCTGAGCAGGGCCGCGACGGCGGCCGGGGCGCGGCCAGTCGCTAGCCAGCTGGGCGGGCAGCCGCCGACCAGCGCCACGAGGTTGCTCTCGACAAAGGCCCCTGCTCCATGACCTCGGGCGGGATCCAGGAGAGCTCGTCCAGGAGCTTGGTCTCCTTGGTGTAGCGGGTCAGGCTCTTGGATGTCCGCCAGCGCCCGCGCCGCTGGATCTCGGCAAGCAGGCGCATCTGGGAGAGCATGTCGCCCGAGGCCCCCCCATGGCGCAAGCTGCACAGGTGGGGAAGGCGGCCCAGCGACAGTCGCCGACACGCCTGGCTGAACAGCGTGCCCAGGCGACACACCTCCTCCCCCCACGGCGGCTCCGAGGGCGCCGTGGACAGCTCCAGAGCCTGCAGCAGCGGGGCGAGCCAGGCCTCGCGGTCGAACAAGACGCTCTCGTCGTTCACCCCCGTCTTGCCTGGCCCCTGCCCGCTCTCGCGCAGGAGCAGCCCGAAGAACTGGTAGCCTGGGCCCGCCGCCTCGGACGGCGCAATGAGGTGGCGACCGCACAGCTTCGCCGCCTCCCCTGGCCTGAGGTACGAGGCAAACATGACGAAGATACAGAGGGCCAGCCTGGGGAAGCAGTCGTGAATCAGGAGGCCGGCCAAGGCGAACACCACGCGGCGCGGCAGCGGCAGTCGAGTGCGCGCAGGGGCGCTTCGTGCCCAGGCCGCTGCCGCTCGGTGAGCCCTCGGCAACAGCACAGGGGTCCGCCTGTGGAAGGAGCCGAGGAAGTGCGCCACCGCCGCCAGGAGAACATTCCCCTGGTTGCCGCCGCCGCCGAGGAGGAACTCGCTGTCCATGAACTCCACCAGCGCCTGGTCCAGGCCCGCATGGCTCGTCCAATCCAGGCGGCGCCCGGCACAGTACACGGCGAAGCTGGCAAGCGCTCCCCTGTAGAGCCGCGTCGTCGAGCTCCTCACCGCCAGACGCCCCAGCAATGATAGGCCCGCGACCGTCGCCGTCTCCGCCGCGAGCTCCCGCGCATGGCGCGCCCGCTCGGTGCGGAGAGCAGACGGCACCGGCGCGGAGAGCCGCCGAGCCCCCGCCGCCATCTGGGACAGCGCCAGCAGCGACACGAGCAGCCGCATGTGCCAGCAGTCCGCCACCTGGGGGCCGCGGGGCAGTCCGGCTGCCCGAGAACCAACCAGCACGCCCACGGCTGAGCGCGTCCGAGGGGTCGGACTCGGAGGGGACCCACCACACTGAGAGGGTTGAGCCAGTGGCCACAGAGAGCGCACAGACCTTTCGAAGCGTGCTCTGCAGATGCTTACTGCGGGCTCGGTCGCTCCCAACGGACAGGACCAACGGCAGGCTGTCGGACAGGATTAAGAAGCGGGACCCGAACGCGGATGTGGACCGAAGGAGGTGCCGATACCCGAGCACGAGAGCCCCCCCTCGAGGGCCAAGATGTTGGCCCTCCCGTCGATGTACACCGCGGCGACCGAGCCCCAGGCAGACCCCCGAACGAAGTGAGCAGGAACCTCACCGAAGTCCACGGCAGGCCGCATGTCCAGGATCGACTTGTCGGCGTCCGCGGGGGGCCCTGGCGACTGCATCTCCCACGGGCCCGCGAGGGCCCCGCCCTGGACGTCCACGAACGACGAGTAGTCATCGATCCCATCACCAGATACACGAGCGTCATCCCCGAGATCAGCGACGACGTCCCCGAGCGGCGCGGCCGAAGCATCGAAGTTGAGCCCGACCGTCCCGCTCCTTGCCTGAGCCCCGCCCTCGACCTTGCACCTCCACTTTGCAGCGACTCCCGATGGCGCCCGCGAGGTCCTTTGGGGCGCGGCGAGCAACGACGCCCAGCCCAAGAGGCGAGGCGTCCGCGCAGGCGACTCGCCCGTGTCACGCAGCGCCAAGGTCAGCCGTGCACAGCGGCAGCAGGTCGTGAATTAGCTCGCGGCGGACGGTGGGCGAGAGCGGGGCAGCAGTTGGCCCAGCGGCCTCGATGCAGGCGTAGGTCGCCCCTAGGATGCACAGCAGCTCCCTCCGCAACAGCAGCGCCCAGGCGATGTGACCCGTCAGCACGCGGAGCAAGAAGCCGCTGATGACATGCCTCCGGAGCGCCGCGCGGATGGCGGCGCGCAACCTCCAGATGTCGCGGGCCCTGAGGCTGAGCCAGCGCCCCTCACGCAGCGACAGCCCCAAGAAGTCGCGGTCCTGGGAGGGCGCCTCGAGCTCGTGCACAGTGAGCCCGTGGCGCGTCAAGTCATCTGCGATGGCCTGCAGCCGTACGCTCACCGTCTTTGGGGAGCCGCCGAGGACGAAGTAGTTGTCCACGTAGCCGGCACCCACGACAGAATCAGGGTCGTCGGCGAGCTGGCAGCCGCAGTGGCCGTCAAGGATCAGGTCGCTAGGCGAGAAACCTGCACGACCCCAAGGATGTCTGAAGGACCGCCTGGCATAGGCGCAGGGCCCAGAAAAAAAAACCATCGGCAGCACGACAACCTGAGGCAGCAAGAGCGACTCGCCCTCCACCACCGCCACTGCGATCCCGTGCGACGCGAGATACTTGGCGGGGATTGGCGGCAACGTGAAGAACTCCCCCGTGCCGTCCGGGACCCGCATGTGGTAAAAGGCCACGTCGAGGTCCGCCGAGGCACTGGAGAACCGAACGTCGCCCGACTCGAAGCCGCCCCCAGGCTGATGCCGACGGCAGCTGGGTGCAGGGCACGTCGGCGAACGCGCAGTTGGCCAGGCGAGCGTCGAAGATGACCCTGAACTGACCACTCTTCCCTGGCACAAGAAAGATTCCCATGTTGCCCCGACGCCCTCGCGAAGGGGAGAAAGTGAGCATGCTGCGCTCCACCATCGCTCTGAGAAAGGAGGCGTAGCCCAGCGGTGAACGGAGCAAGGCAGGATCCGTATACGGGCCCTGCGGGCATGCCTCCGCTCGAAACTGCCGCGCCTCCTCGGGCTCGCGAAGCATTTGGCACCTCCACTCCCGCAGCGCGGCGGAGTCTCGCTCGCCCAGCAGCCCACAGAGCGGCGCGGGGGGCTGCGAAACGTCCGGCCAGGAGACGAGGTCTGGCACGTAGAGGGTGGCGGGCTTGCCGCCGTCAGGGTGCAGCGCGGACCCAGCAAGGAGCTCCCGCAGGGCCCCGTTGGGATCTGAGACGTCGTCACGACACTCATCCGGCTCAGGGCCGAGGGCGACGATCGAGTCCCAGAAGCGAGCGGCAGCACAGCGCTGCCCGGCAGACAGCGCCAGCGCGGGCGAGGACCGGTCGCCGCAGAAGTGATTCAGGGCATGCACGGCGGCGCCGGCACGGCCGAGCGCGCGCGCAAACGCGCGGCCGGCTCGAACTCGCCGCCGAGTCCCCGACGACCCAGGCGCCACATCCGCCGCAGCCAGCAGCGGAAGAGGAAACAGATCCCGATGTCGGTCCTCATCCAGCGGTCGGTGCCCAGTGTCGCCAGGGGAGCGGGTCGCACACGTGGCAGGACCCGCGATGGCCGGGGGAGCAGGGGCGGCGGCTGGCCAGGCCATCCGCCCGGGGGCAGGTCAGGCATCGGCCCCGGCGGCGTTGGGCGAGCCGCCCCGGCCGCCGCGGCAGCCCCGTCCGTCTCCCCCTCCCGCGCCCTGCGCCAGGCTGGCCGGGCACGCCCCCGGCGAGGGCGCGCTCCTCGCGCGCCTCCCCCCTCTCCTTCGCCACCGCCATCTCCCGCTGCAGCTCCTGCGCGGGATGGTCTCGCAACGCGGGGCACGCGCAGACCGCCCCGTCGAGCTCCTGCGAGCCCATCATGACGGCGCGGCCCGCCGCGCCAGGCTCGCCCGGGGCCACCAGCTCGCGGCAGCGCTCCTCCTGCACCTGCACGGATCGAGCGATGAGCTCCAGATGCCCCAAATTCGCGGCGTGCACCTGGTCATAGGTGACGGCCGACTCGAAGGCCACGCGCCCCATCTGGTGGATCTCCACGCCTGGGGACTCTGGACCAAGCCCCGCCTCAGCCAACCACCGCTGATGATGAGCCGTCGGAGTCCCTGACCGCTGTGCCATATGCTGCAGCCCCCGCAGCAGCGCGCGCGGCCCGCGCACTGTCCAGTCAGGCCAGGAAAGCTCGACCATCAAGGCCACCATGCTGCGGAAGTCCGCGCGCCGCACGCCTCGCACATCCCTCACGATGGCGAAGATGCGGGCGTCGCCGCCGGGGCTGGCGGGCGGCGGCATCACCCTCTGGCCCGCGGGCGCCAGCCCCTCGGCGAGGGGGCCGGCGGCGGGGACAGCGGCAGCCGCCGGCACAGCCGGCGCCGCGGCCAGCGCAGCGGGGCCCGCCGGCGCGAGGAGGGCCCCCTCGGCCCCAGGGGCGGCAAGGCCGCAGGCAGCAGCGGCGGCGGCTGGGGCTGGCCCCCTGGTGCGAGCACGCCTTCAGCGGCTCCGCCGGCATGCCCCCCGAGCGCGGCCACGAGGGCGCCGGGGCCGCCGGCCTCCGAGCCAGGTGCCGCGCCAGGCAGCGCGGCGGGGGCGCCCGCCGCCGGCGCCGCCGGCGCGGCCACCGCGAACACCCCCCCGCAACGTTGGGCACCACGGGCCCGGCAGGCGCTGCCAAGCCCTGGCGGGCGCAGGCGCAGCCAGCCGCGGCCATCAGCCGCGGCCATCAGCGCTCGTGGATGAGCGCTATGCCCGCGACGCTGCACTGCACCCCGATGAAGTCCCCGACGGCCACGCCCGCCGCCGCGAGAGAAGGATGCGCTGGAGGGCCAGGCGCCGCCATCACTGCAGGGCGAGCTTGCGCTCACGGAGCGCTCTCACCTGCGCCCAGGCCTCCTCGCCCAGCTCGTCGGACTCGGCGTGGCCAGCGGACGGGCCGGCGGGAGGGCCGCGGAGGCGGAGGACGGCCCAGGCCCCCGCAGCGCCGACGGAGGCGCCAGCGAGCGCGGCACCCACCACGCAGGCAGCCAGCACCGCGGTGGAGGGGCCCGACTGGGAGTCACCCCGCAGCCCCGAGCAGTCGCAGCGCAGGTCGGGGCACTGCAAGGTGGGCTCGCAGGTGCACACAGGGCAGACTGCAGGGCCGCCGCGCGCCGCCCAGACAGTGAGGCCCATGCCAAGGCTGCGCCCCAGCTCCGGAGGGCGGAGATCATGGACGCCGGGCGCTGGGGCCCCCAAAAACTAAGAGCCAAATTATGAGTACGTCGGACCTCTGCCTCTGCTTAGCCCTCAGTTGTGAAAACTACCATATACATATAGATATGTTGCGCTGACGGCCGTCGGACAGGGCAGCCATCGCGAGACCGTGCAGCCCCAGGCCCGAAGAACCCAGCGGCCTCCTAGGAGGGCCACGAGCGCGCCGCCCGCTCCCCGCGGGCCTTCCTGCACTCTTTGGCCACCGCGGCCTCGGCCTTCAACTCGTCCGCGATCCACTGACTAAGCAGTAGGCATACGCAGACGTGGCCCCTGCTCTCCTGCACCCAGTGGAACAGATTGATCTCGACGCGGTCGACCAATGGGTGGCCCTTGTCCTCATCCTTGTTGCCGTTGCTTCTCGGCTTGAAGGAATGCTCCTCCTCCTCCTCCTCCTCCTCCTCCTCCTCTTCTTCTTCTTCTTATTCTTCTTCTTCTTCTTCTTCTTCTTCTTCTTCTTCTTCTTCTTCTTCTTCTTTTTCTTCTTCTTCTTCTTCTTCTTCTTCTTCTTCTTCTTCTTCTTCTTCTTCTTCTTCTTCTTCTTCTTTTTCTTCTTCTTCTTCTTCTTCTTCTTCTTCTTCTTCTTCTTCTTCTTCTTCTTCTTCTTCTTCTTCCTTCTTCTTCCTTCTTCTTCCTTATTCTTCTTCCTTCTTCTTCCTTCTTCTTCCTTCTCCTTCTTCTTCTTCTTCTTCTTCTTCTTCTTC